TGTGTCGGGATCAGAGGTAGTCTCATAAGAGTGGTTTAAATCGTTTTGGGGTAAAATCCACAGGAGATCACTTTCACTAACATGGTGTGCAGAATCTTAGGGTCCATAGTTATCCGGCACCTGAATGGAGATCAGGGAAACCAGCTAGGTGTCACATCTGGACGAGGGCGCATCGGTCACATCTTCACTTTTCTACGTGTTTTAGAACACTCACTGACACTTATCAACTTTTTCTTATCTTTCATGTCCCATTGGTTGCTGGCCATTCATGGAAAACAGTTTACTACCCTCACGCCCCCGTTCACCCTACAGTACGACTTCAATTTTGACCCCTTTTCATTGCGTGGTGATCTATAATATAATGATAACAGCCTTTTATGGTACCACTACCTAACAGAACTTAGCGGTATGGTTATCATTATTTATTATTTCCCCCTTGGGTTCCTAGTGGAACATAGGGTTTCAGTAGCACGCCTCCATTGCACTCTGTTGTCTGCAGTCTTTTGAACCTGGCTCCACGACTGCCCACAAGCTTTCATTCCTTCCCCACATGATCTCCTCCATGTCACCCTTGCCATGGACTTCCAACTCGTCGTTTCTCCTTTGGGTTCCACTCTAGGCCCTGGCCTGGTGGTGCGTAATGTCTCCAAATGGTTTTCTCAGTGTATGTCCAATCAATCTCCACTTCCTTCTGCATATTTGTTGGACGATGGGTTCTTGGTTGGTTCGTTCCCAGAGTTCTTTGTTGCTTATTCTTTCTGGCCATCTGAGCTCCAGTAAGGAGCGTAGGCAGCTGCTGATGAATGTCTGTAATTTGTTGGAAATGCTTTTCGTGACGCACCAAGTTTCTGAACCATATAGAAGCACTGACGACATTGGTGTCGAAAATCCGGATCTTGTTCTTTATGCTGAGTGCAGTAGATCTCCACACCGATTTCAAATTAATGAACGCCTGTCTTGCTTTTCCGACCCTGGCTTTGACATCATCATCTGTGCGTGTGCCGCCTGTAGTTAAAACGATGATGCCTTGTCTAGGTAGGTGAAAGAGACAACTTCCTTTAGGTTTCTCCTGTTGATGGTGATTGGTGCTTGTTGTTGTTAGTTGGATATCTTCATCACCTCTGTCTTCTCTACGTTCACGTGAAGTCCCGTCTTCGCTGCCTCGCCTCTTCTGCCAACTTGTTAGTTTCTGCCTGCAGGTCTTCGAGTTTGTGCGATATTAGACATAAATCATTATCGGCGAATCCTAAATCGTCTAGGCTCTTTTCATCTGTCCAGTTAGTGTATGCCCCACTTCTCGCTCCCCACGGCTTACTGCATGATCCAGTCGACCACAATCAGGAAGATGATCGGTGATAGTAGGGAGCCTTGTCTTCCCCCTGTCTTCACTTCAAAGACATCACTGAGCTTTCCATTGTATCACTTGGCATGTGGTGTCGTCATGTAGCTGTTGAATGAGATTGATAAAGGTTTGTGGCATTGAAACCGTAGTGTTGAAGCTGGTGCCTAAGAGATTAATTGTCAGTCGACGCCTTCGAAGGCTTTTTCAAAGTCTAAGTAGAGATAGAGAGTTGACTGCCATTCTATGCTCTGTTCTATGATGATACGTAGCGTAGCGTTGCAATTTGATCTGCACATGATTCATTCTTCCTGAAACCAGCCAGCCAGTCTGCTCCGGTCGTAATTTTGAATCGAGAGGATTTTTTAGCCTCTCCAGGATGATGCGGCTTAATATTTTGCTTGGGGTGGACAGGGACAAGAGCATGATTCCGCGCCAGTTGTGGCAAGGACTTAGCTTAGGTTACCCTTCTTTAGAAGTTTGACAAGGTAACCCTTCTCCCAATCAATCGGCAGGTACCTTTCCTTCCTTCTTTTCTTCCAAACCTTCTGCAGTAGTGGTGTGAGCATGTCCTCTGTGGTCTCTGAGTCTCTTTTCAGTGCTTCTGGCGGAATCCCGTCTGGTCCTGCTGCTTTCCCGGATTTCAGCAACTTTTTGGCGTTCAGAACTTCTGCTTCTATTCTATACCTTCTCATCTCTTGTAATCTGGACAGCCTTAGTAGGTTCATACATGGTGCGGATATTCCATGTCTCCATGTTTACTTTTGCGTTTATCGAGAGAAGATACATCGGCCAATTGACTTCCCGAAGGCTTTCACCAACTGGGATTATTTCGTCTGTCCGATTCCAGCGAGGAATAAGATGGTTTTCATTTTTTACATTTTCTTTGTGCTTTGAAGTCTCTTTAGCGATTGTTTTGGTTTCCTGGGGTAGGTTTGTTAGCTCTATGCTCAACTTTCCCTGTTTATCTGGGCTTAGGACCGGCTAGTAACTAGTGAGCTAGTTAACCAGGCGAGGTTAACGGTATGATAGGACTTCAAGAAGCAAATATTTCTCCCAACATATTTCGTTGAGTCGTTGTGATACGCAAGCTTGTTCAGCACATCAGAGTAATAGCCTCCAGTTATCAAGGTTTCATCAACCAGGTAGTCTCATCAAATAATGTTCTATGTTTGTAAGTTGAAGACTTATCAAATGAACTGGAACATTTTTTATAGATAAAGGTTACTTTTACTTCAATTATCCCTACCAACATACCATCTAGTATAATACTGAAATCATTAAAATTAGAATAACTATCGCTGCTAGTTACGAAGAAGTTTTCGATGACACGCAAGCAATTAGTATCGGGAATGAGATGTTATGTATACTAAAGTGCTTAAAGGTAACTGCTTTGCTTGATGTGTTTCTTTGTGCGTATTCCACTTCGATGCATATTTTATTTCCCTGACAATAATTTACAGATGCTGTATAGGGAAAGAAATCTAAGTATATATTTATCATAATATTGTGCATCGGTAAATAGCGTCAGGCTGTTTGAACGTCCATTCATGAGTTAGTATATGACGATAATTATTATGCGATTAATTAAAAATAACTTCAAACAGCACACAATTTATGTTGCACCTTTCACGAATTGATACCGGCATCTTTATTGAATTAGTAAAACACTAAAGGGATAGACAAGGGATAGTTGATCATTCTAAAACACTCACACGATCGCCAACTCCGCATTACGAGACCCATGCATTTGCACTTAAGAGTATCTAAGAAGCGTACAAGTAGAGAGTGTACATGTTTGGTATGAAGATAAGAGTATCATTTATACAGCCATATAAACACTAAGTATAACTTATAACTTAGTGTACAAACGTGAATACAGTTGCTGAATTCCATCGAAGGTTGTGAACGCTCATCGACTCGGGTGGCAGAGACATGTGCTACGCAAGTCTATTCATCATCTGTCTCCTCGCACACTTAGTTGAAGTGGGTTTAGGTTGAAAAAAGGTTAGAGGTGGCCACACTAAAATATGACATCAGAGCATGAAGTCTTTGACTGTTGATCCGAACCGTGTAAATAAAAATAAAATGACTGATTGGTGTCTACGTGAAAACAGAAACCGGTGATTGGAGACTTTAGTCGACATATCATCATCATCATTATCAACATAGGACCAGGCATTACTGCGTAACGGTCCGAGTTGCCACATCTCATATCAGCACATCAAGTAAAAAGGTAGTGAGGCGAAGGATGAAGATAAGTGAATGCAGTCAAAAGAAATATAAAGTACGAGAAGAGAGAATGGAAGAATGAGAAAATGGTGAGATTCGGTATAGCGTTGTTAAGATGAGGATAATGTGTGTATACATCTGCGCCACTGACTTCGGTTCTGAGCCATATCACCTAGGGTCTCCAACCACTGGTTCCTCTTGTCCCACCGACCCCAACCACCTAGTCTGATCGTCCTACATGGCTTAAACCAACAGTCAGAGACTTCATACATTGGTGCCATATTTTAGTCTGGCCACCTCGGGCCTTTTTCCAGCCTGGACCCACCTCAGCCAACATTGTGTGACGAGGCAATCGGTGACTAGGCATACGTAGTACGTGTCCCAACCATCTCAGTCGATGAAGGTTCACAACCTCGTCAACTGACTTACCTCTTCTCCCTAAAACTCTACACCTAACTTCTGCATTACTCACGTGGTGTGGTGACACCACGGAATACGTCCTATACTACGAAGGCAACGGTGGTCAAACACCTGAAGCCTTTTTGTATCCTCCACTTTCAATGGCCATTTTTCACAGCCATACAGTAGAACAGCCCGGACTGCTGTGCAGTACACGTGACCCTTAATAGACAAACGAATATCACGGCGGCGTCATAGGTGGCGCAAATTGGCAAAAGCCAATCGAGCCTTTTGTATCCGTGCAGAAATCTCATCGACATAGCTCATAATCGATATCAGCGGTGCACATTTACCCACATATTATCGTCATTTTAAGCATCACAGTGAATTCACTATTTTCGTATTCCTCCTTCCACTCTTTTATTACTTTCTACTGGTTTTTATCGATTCTTCCCCATTTCTTAACCTTTCATCTTCGTGCTTTTCTCACTTCTCAGTAATGCTTTGGCCTATGTTAATCTAGTCTAGTCTATCTCACCTAACTGATGCAAAGAAGACTGTTCATTGATTTTTTTTTATAACAGATTAACCGGTTAACCAGTACCAATTCTTCCATACTGGCTCTACATAAATTAAATTTTCATTTATGTAAACGTGATTATCTATCGATTTTTCAATACAGTTGGTTAACATCAGTATAGGACTTGACATTTATGCGTAACCATTCACTTCGCTGCATAGTACATCAAGGCAGTAAAATGAAAGAAAAATAGGCATAAAGTTAAGTGAATTTAACATTCAGTTGTACATCATAAGTACTAATTAGAGCTGTTGTTCATTAGTATAGATATTCGGTTTTCAACCATAGCTTCGAATTGCCCTCTACCTGGTAATAACTAGGTGTAACTCACTGCCTGATGTACAAACCTGTGGGTGATTGCTGAGTTTTATTTCGCATATATATCATTTCATTAAATCTAAACTTGTCCATAATTTGTTTGCATTTTTTTTCTTTTTTTAGACTTTTGAAATGAACTATAACTATTCAAAAAATTCTGCTGCAATTTTAGAAAAGAGTTTAACAAAATTACGTGGAGATGTAAACAATAATTCAATACATCATATTAAATTATTCTTTCACCTAGGTTAATATAGCTTCTTTTGCTTATCTATTCGTTGAATTGGTCAAATATTCAATGCGTAATGTATCCAGTATGGATCTTGTTCAAAAACGGTAATTTTATTTTCATTCAACCTTATGAAAATGTAATTCATTCACTTAGGAAATCTACTTTCAAGTAGTAGGTCCATGTGTTCACATTTTGCTCCACTTGTTTTGATTAGATCATCTGACAATTGTGACTAATAGCCTAGTACGCAAACATATGTACCGGTTGAAGTTACAGTTATCTTAAACATCACAGATAGGCCTTATATTTTCATTATTTGCTTTCCTCTTGTTGTAAAAATCGTTGCAAGATATACCTTCCTTAGGCATGAGTATCATTTGTATGGATGTCATCACTGATTGACCATGGTTAGTTCAATACAGAATGCCTGTTTAGTATTTGCGAATTTTCGTCAACTGTGGCACTGACTGGTGAGATATCCAACTATCTATCAAGGGATAAGTCTACTGCACAGCAGTCCTTTCTATCCTGTTGTACGGCTATAAAACAGTTATCAAAAGCATCGTATATGAAGCGGTTACAAGATTCTGAAGTGTCTTAACAGCAATGCTGGCGTTTGGTGGAATCACCGTGTAAGAAATGCTCTGGTCAGTCGAAGGGTAATAGGCAAGACAGGCAAGTAAGTCGATTGATGAGGTTGTAGAGCTTCATCGTCTGAGGTGGCTTGGACACATACTTCGCATACGGAACCATCGTCCACCTCGACGTGCTATGCTATAGGAAGTTGGTGACCGGACGAAGAAGTGGGACTAGTCGTTGAAGTCTCAAACTGTTGGTCTGAGCCACGTAGAGAGGTGCAGACTACCTGGTTGGAGGTTACCGAGACGATGGGGATCAGTAGTTGAGGACTGATTCTTAGGGACATGGTGGAAAATCGGTCACAATGGTGCAGATATATTCATTCTTTGGTGTCTTCTGAAGCCTGAATATTTACACTAACCTGTATCATCAAATTGTTTTTTCTTTCATATAACTATCTACTTTGAATGTCACTCGTTTTCTGTCCATTTGTTCTTTGTCTATTGAAGTGAAGTGCATCGACTTGAATCGATGTTGATTTTATCAGTCATGGTTAGTTCGCATCAAGACAGCCAGATTATAAATAGGCATTCAAATGAATTATGTAAGAAATCTCACAAATGATATTCTTTAGAATGCATCATTTATAGAGGCAAAACATTGTTGATCATATATTGTATAAAAAAGTTTTATTTTAGACTTTCAGATTTCGGTAAAGCTGTTGGTGAACGTATGATTGATGTTGTTTATACACGAGAAAAACCACAGAAACGTGATATACGCTTATATAATGCATTAATTTTTTTAAAAAGCAATTTTTGGAAAAGTCTTTTTGGTAAAGAAGCTGATGAATTGGAACGAGATGGTGTAGATGAAAATATCTGTATGTAATCATATTTTCATTAGATCAAATATATTAGTTTAGTTTATATGATTGAACATGAACCAATTGTTAATCGATTTACACGATTCACTTATGAAGATAAGGATGAAAAACGTAAAACATGTAAGTGGTACACAACAGTAGTATTTATCATAAACTAATATCTACTTTTCTGAAAATGTAGCTACACCGCTTAATGTTGCAGCTTTCAGTGCTGGAGTTGTAGAAGCTTTCCTAACAAATATTGGTTTTGTAAGTTTCTGTATTAATTTAATGAATGTATTGTCTGAAACATGAATTCTTTAAAGATTTATTCATTCTGACAGATAACCTTAACCTCTTTGATATGGATGTTAGTTAGTTAGTTAAAGGCGTTACCACTGAGCTATTCAGACCCTGATTAGTTAGTTATATTGACTTGCAGTATGCCTATCAAGGGTTAGGAGGTTCACCATTACTGTACAAAGTGATGGATAGAATTCGATCAGTACTGGACAACTTGAAATTGTTTGTTCTCTGAAGTGTCTAGACAATGAATTTTGACCTGGGTATATAAAGTGGGACTGAAATGCCTACAATCCACTGGTGTTTGTTATAATGAGTTATAATCGAAAAGAAATGTTTTATGTAGTATATGTATGCGATATGACTATCTTGTTACACTTACTAACTATATCATGATTATATTGAGCATTGGGCATAATCCCCGTCATTATTTCATCGTTGAATGTTTGTGATTAAGCACTGCTATGAACACTGATTATGTGTCAGATAAGAACTTTTCTGATTGGTGGAAAGTAGACAATCAGCGTAGTCCTATAATTAAATCGCCTGATTGATTTAGCACACAGCGATACAGTACTATTCATTGGATAAAGTTTCATTTTGACATGATTATGAGCAGTAAATTCATCATGTGGAAAACTGATAGCATATTACTTTAATAATTGTGCTATTAGAATGATTACTCAAAAATCTTGTGCAGCTTATTAGCTTAAGAAGTCAACTTTCAAGCAATGGGTCTTAAGGTCGAATCCCATTCCATCTATCTCGACCTGGGCAACTATATAGTGTAGTATCATAATCCCTTAGGGAATAAGTGTAACTCACAGCTGATGCAAGTGACGGCAATCAAACGTAGTAATCTACACTTCTGTGAGAACATAAAATACAAAAAAGCTAATCTGCTTGGCATACGATTTATGATAGGGCAAGTGATATAAACCAATGAGAATTATTTCTCGGAGGATAAAAAGAATAATGTCGCTTGGAAAAAACCCATAGGTAAACACAACTTCTAGAAGAAGAACGAGGCGAGGGGGGGGAGCAGCTGAAAACCCCGAAACAATAAAATGTTGAAATGATGAAAAAAATTTGTAGCTCAGGATGAAGATGATGGTGATTTTTTGTGTTGTGTGAGCTTTGATATTTCGTCGTGACTGGTCTCATCACCCGACTTGATGACGTCTTCAGCACTAACTTCATAAACAAGTCCTGTTGTTGCTCAACAGGTTGCTCCTGAGATTTTCAACGTAGACTTCAAAGAAGTGCAGACATCAAGTTTGTCTGCACTTCAAGTGTTATAGTTCAGTTACTTCTGAAGCAAATCGACGTTCTGAAAGATTCACTACCCATTCACCTTTTAATTCCTCCTCTGTTGGTTGTGATAGCTTAAGTAGTTTATCATTCAACTTCTCCCTCCTCTTCTCGTCTTTGGTCCTGGTTGTTATATTGATGGCTGCTGTCAGTTTACTCATCGTATCACCTCTGATGATTGGTTCCAATACTTGTTGTTGAGTTGTAATTACATTGTTATGTTTGGTTAATCTATTGTCTACATCGGATATCATTAATCCCACCACTTTTTTGCTACTTTGCTGGAAAACCTTCCATGCAGTAGGGCAGTTGGATGGGTGATTTGTATCTAACACTTTGTGGCAAGATATTTTGCCGTAAACGCTTATGTGAGAAGGAAAGCTGTTCTCGAGTGAAAGCTCTTCGATCAACGAAGTTCTCCCATTTCCGAGCACAGAGAAGATTTCGAAATGATGACAAAGATTTGTAGTTCAGGATGACGGTGTTCTTATGGACTTTGATGTTTTGTCGTGAAAACTTCATTAGTAGGTTTGGTGACATCGTCAGCAGCAACTTCATAAATAAACAATTAGATAAAAAAATTGTCAGAACAAGTTAGGGAATTCGCCAGAAATACTGCAGTCCGATTAGTACCGAGATTTACTACTACATGTATACAGCATGTGTTGAAAACCAATTTGCTATTTCTCACTAATGAAATTCAATGTTAACACATTTAGGTACATTGAAACTGTTCAAGTAGTAGATGATAGTCTCACAGAATACACATCAGTCAGCAATTTTTCTTAGTTGATGATGAAATCTTTCAAAAAAAAAATGAAAGAATCGTCTTAATAAATTTTCAGTATTATCCTATTGTTTCCAATTCCCTAGAAGGTATGATTTCGACGCATAAGTCAAGTATATTAACGTGGGACCTGATATTACTGCTTAACGATACAAGTTACTACACTCTATATCAGCGCAGGAAAATAAAAATAAAGAGACATAATAAAAGTGTCAATAGATCTGCACTACTGAGATCGATTCCTAACCATATCGCCTAGAGTCTATAACCATCAATTTTAGTTGTCCTGTGGACGCTAATCTGAATGTTTGCGTTTCGCTACATAATTCAGACTCCGTGGACTGATACCATATCTGAAGGCCTTCAAAAATCTCTTTCCACTCTAAACCCACTTCATCTAACATTGCGCTATCGAGCAGGCTGTAACTTGGCATAGTCTACAAAAGCTTATTACGTATATAATTTTGTTTGTAACATATCTCTCTCTCTCTCGAAGCAGAAAGGACACACTTCTAAGAAAAACCGCTCCTTGAGTTCAATGATTGAAAGTAGTAAGAACTTTTAACGAACAAACTTATTGGTGACCGATTATTAAACAACCTTCTAAAGAAGCAACACTACATAGGCAAGATGATTGGTTTGTGTAGCCTGAATAACGAAATCTGGATTTTTGAATTCGTGTAGACAGAAGTAGAGTATTTTTATGTGAGGTTTCTATACTCTGTATTGCTTATTTTCACTCTAAAGTTGTATTGTCTTCTTCAGCCGTGTACAGTCTCTGCAACCTGGTACAAAGGAACAGCGTATGTAATAAAATTCGAGGAATCGGTAAACATCCGTGAAAGGCAGTTAGATAGTCGATAAATATGTACCTATTGAATACATACACACATTGTATGCATAAATACAAGAACTCCTGACCTCTTACAATGTATCTACAACTTTCTACATAATTTCGTGCATTAAATGATAATATCACTATAATCTACACACTTTATTCTTATGATGACATTCGTGCGGGAATAATTCATTGAGGTCAGCATCGATGTCGAAAGTCGTCAAACCCTAGGCTATTGATTTTGGGGAAGTGTGTGACGCTACAGACTTTTACCTCAACTTCATCCACTTCGAAAAGGCTTTTGACAGCGTCGACCGAGAAATAATTTGGCAGGCAGCTGCTTCAACACTACGGTTTTAGTGCCCCAAACCTATATCAACCTCATTCAACAGCTATATGAAAAGGCCACATGCCAAGTGATCCACAATAGATAGCTGAGTGAATGAAAGTGTCATCAACAATAAGTCACCAGTAGTTGTTATACATGTATATTCGTTATAATTAGTGTCTATTCACATTTGAAACGTTATTTTTTTATGTCGTAGCTTGTGAATCTCCGTTGTTGATCGGTCACTATTAGCACATGGGCTCCTGTGCGGATACCTCGATATAGCCGATATTTTCAAATCTGATATCAATGACGGTTAATAGCTAGCAGTGGAGTTCAGGATGCGCGTTTCGTCCTCTTTGGGATTAGTCAGCTGGATAAACCTGCCTGTCATTGAATGGTGTTGTTCTCACTAAGATTTAAACCGGGGACTGGTCGCTTTAAACGTTATCCACTAGGCCACTGAATCACGATACGATAAGCGCTGCTTTCGAGTCTTAGTGAGAACAACACCACCCACTGGGAGGTAAGTACATCTGGCTGGCGACTCCCAAGTGGGATGAAACGCGCATCTTGGATTCCTCTACTATCCACTATTATAATCAAATTTGAAACGTTGTCCTTGACAAATAATAACTTTCTGGGGAATTTGGTGCTTAGTATGATGGTGATTATAACAATACTATTATCTATTATTATGACTATCAGAGATAGCCGTGGTTTGGCAGACTGAGTGGTGATTGGAGGTGAAATGAAGATTTGGACCGCGGTCGGATTCGAACCAGACACCACTGGGTTACCGGCCCGGTGCTTTACCATCTGAGCCACGAGGTCCGACTGCTGACCACATTTTTATTTCACTTCAATCACAAGTGAGGTTTTGCCCGACTACTATGTGAATTCGTGATGCCTTACTACCGCTTGATCGTATTCACATTGGCTGCCTAGTCAGGACTTCTCATTCTAAGCCAAATCAAACTGAATCAGAGATAAATCTGGTCAGCAATCGAACCTCGTAGCTCAGTTGGTACAGCACCGGGCCTGGTAACCCAATGGTCACCGGTTCGGATCTGGCCGCCGTCCAAATTTTCATTTCACCTTCAATCATCGCCTAGTATAAATACTCTTGTTGTTAGATGGTGCGAAATATGCGCAGCAACTGTGTATGTATTAAGCGAATAGACTGGTATCGATAAGAATATGAATTAGACTGAGTACTATTAGTGAAGATGAATTGGTCTTTTTGCTGTTACGTAGTAGTAACGGTAGCCTTCTGGTCATAGAGATATAAGTCTCAATAATACGAGCGGATGTCTAAACGATCATTCCAGTACACATGCAATGTGAGTTGTAATTCTGTTGAAACAGTTCAGAAGCATTTGACTTCACATTTTGATTTATACGCGTCGATGATATACTATCAAACAAAAAATTACGTTTGTGCAGCTGAATTGAAACTAATTCCAGTCAGTAATATGATGATGGCGACGACTGCCAAAAAATACATAAAACATGATATACACAATGAATACGATTCACCGCTTTCACTAGACCAAACCTGTTAGGTATAGGAATAGAGTTTTAGGGAGAAGAGGTAAATCAGTTGACGAGGTTATGAACCTTCATCGACTGAGATGGTTGGAACATGTGTTACATATGCCTAGTCGCTGATTGCCTCGTCACACAATGTTGGCTGAAGTAGGTTCCGGCTGGAAAAGGGCCCGAGGTGGCCAGATTAAAAAATGACACCAATGTATGAAGTGTTTGACTGTTGGTTTGAGCCGTGTGGGGCGATGCAGACTAGGTGGTTGTGGTCGGTGGGACAAAAGGAACCAGTGGTTGGAGACTGTAGGTGATGGCATGGCTGAGAACCGATTTCAGCGGCGCAGATGTATACATGCATTAGCATCATCTCAACGACACTATACCGAATCTCACCATTTTCTCATTCTTCCATTCTCTCTTCTCGTACTTTATATTTCTTTTGACTGAATTTTCTGATCTTCATCTTGCAGTTCACTGCCTTTTTACTTGATGTACTGACTGATATGAGGTGTGGCAACCCGGACCGTTACGCAGTAATGCCTGGTCCTAGGTTGATCTGGATGGTGGACACACTTAGTATTTCGGCATGATGAACGAACGGCACCCAGCGACCTTGCGTACATCCGTACAGTAGACAATGAACTACGCCTATTGTGTGAGGGCTAGCGATACTACTACCTTACTGCCCGAATCTCGGTAGGCGGGGCGGGGTTCCAACTCGTGACCCACTGGTTGGTAGTCATCTGTGCATATACGCTGATTAAACTAAGAATCACTGCATTACTTCACATTTATCTTGATAATGACTTGAGTAATAATAGGGTATCGTGTATTCATCTTAGCGACTAGCAGTGGGATCCAGGATGCGCGTCTCATCCGATTTAGGACTCTTCAGTTGATTGTACCTGCCTCTCAGTGAGCGATGTTGTTCCCGCTATGACTCGAAAAGCAACATTTATAGCTTCATACGCCAGAGCGTTATCCACTGGGTCGCGATAGCCACCTCTTGTGCAACGGATATCAGTTTTTTCGTTGGTACTTGTAATTTCCCGATGCCAAACAGGCGAATTGCTCTACCTCTGTTGGTATGTGGGGTTCTATGTGGGTGCCTCGATGGTCTCTACATATTAATGACGCCTTTTTATTTGTCGTGCAAAGAACATAAGTAACCTGTGGAATATTCATCGAAATTACTTCTAGACTGAATTCACTTTGTTAAACAGTAATACCGATTATGATACTGATACGTAACGTTAAAAGGTAGCCAATAGAGAAGTTGTTTTCAGGTCATGATCAAATCATGTTCAGATCATGACTTATATGTGCACTGACATGATTACCTGATTGGACAAATGCGACGTCATACAACAAATCGGACTGGTTCATTTATGGCTTCATTTTCTGAGGGTTTTGTATATATATATATATATATATATATATATATATATATATATATATATATATATATATATATATATATATATATATATATATATACCATGTATCTGCCTAATAAAAGTTGTCGTTCTGCCGCTACAGGCCGTCTTTTGTCTTCTGATTTTCGTGGCTCGGTGAAGTATAGGGTATGGGGAGAAGAGTCGTATTCCTCGTATCCAGTCCAAGTGTCTCGTTCACGTATTATTAGAACCCACGTCACCTTCCTCAACTCAGATACCCAAGTTGACGTTTAAAATCCCATCAAAACCAGTTCTAATTGAGAGTTATCAACTTTGGTCAAGTGTAAACAGAAGTAGCAGTAGTGTCCTGTACGTTAAAGTAAAGAATCCATCCTCTTTGTACAAACCATTTATATTAATTAACGAACAAAAAATGTACAAAAACACTAAAAAGTTGATTAATGATTACCAATTTGGTTGTGCATTAGCTAAACGACGCATCCGTCTGAAAGAAAAAAAAACAACACAAGGTATAGCGTTATAAAACGTGTGCAGGAATAGTGATCGAGTTACAACACTGAGGCGACAAACCACGGTATGAAAACATAAAGTTTGACATTCGATCGATGGTATGTGAGAAATATTATTATCTCTTTAGCCTGTTCACTGGATCTACGCTAGTGTGTTGTTCACTTTTTGGCTAGTGGTGAATACGCACTGCTTAGAAATTTCTTCATAAACTTAGGATTACTGAATCTTCTCTCATTAGCCTTCTTTACTCCAGAACACATTCGAAAAAGTGAATAGTGAGTAGCAGTCAACTGAAAAATCGATAAACACATAAGTGAACGATAATTCTTAGTCACTAAGGATTCACATCCTGTATTGCTCCACTTTGTCACCTAATCATCGATTTAATAATATCCATTGTAACATAAAGAACAAGGTATTCAGCGAAGGTACTATTTTGAACAGGTTTATTTTCAAGCTATACATTCGTATATGTCTTATGGAAATTTAAATCATGGATGATAGTAATAACCATAAGGGTATCCATAATTATGACAACAGTTAAGGTATGAATAATGAAAAAGTGGATCAAACATTGACTGGTCACGGGAGAGCAACCAATTTCCTGTTATCTAGTCCTGAGTGCACATCGAATCCTATCGGTTATATTTGCAATGTTGCCATTAACCTAGGAGGCTCAGCATCACGGTGCACATCGGTAGATATCAGTTGGTTGAAGGCAATTGACACGAAGCCCTGCGCCTAGGTCCCGTCCTTGTTGGCACTCGTCAGCGAGACGTATCTGCGACCTCGACGGTACTAATGCCACATCTAAGACTCGAACCCGCGCCACCCACTTTTGTAGTCAGTGACTTTACCACTGAGCTATCCGGACCGCGATTGACCTCCTGTAGGACTGGGTTATATGTATAGACTGGTCACGGGAGAGTAATGAATTTCATGATGTCTAGTCCTGAGTGAAGACCGAATCCTATCGACCATATTTGCAATATGACCAAGGTAGTAGGCTTAGCATCGCGGTGCATATTGGTAAATGTTAGTTGGGCTTCCTGCCGATTGCTTCCAACCAACTAAGTTTCTTTAGCGATTAGATTGATTTTCCGGAATAGGATTGCTAGCCCCACGCCCAACCTTCACTCTTTTTCCGGGCTTAGGGACCGGCCAGTAAACTACGGATGTACATCAACAGTTGTCTACGCTCGATACTAAAGATCAGATAGTCAGAATAATAAGAATAAGCAATAAGGAACTCTGGCTGGGAACGAACTAACCAAGAACCTATCGTCCAACAAATATACAGAAGAAAATGGAGATAGATCGGGCATACACTGAGAAGACTATTTGGGGACATCGCGCGCCAGGTTAGGCCCTCGAGTAGAATCCAAAGGGGAAACGATGAGTTGGGCATCCGAGGGTGACATGGAAGAGATCGTGTGAGAAAGAAATGAAAGCTTATGGACAGTCGTGGAGTCAGAGAAGAGAGTCCAGTGGAGACGTGCTACTGAAGCCCTATGTTCCACTAGGAACTCAAGGGACAAATAATAATAACTAAGTGGGTTGTGTAATATATAGCAATCTTTCATACAATGTATATAATTCAGAAAGGGGTGTAAAATTGATGGAAGTGGTAAATCAGCAAATAGTATTCAACAAGCTAGTTAAACTGAAACCAGAAACTATTCAAAGTAAGGGTAATTATACTAACAATAATACTGATAAAGGAAGGATATGAAGATTAATTTAACAAATGAAGAATACTAGTAGTGGTTGTGTGAAAATGCTATGGTCACAGTAAACACAGCGACCATATATCCATTCAGTAGAACACACAGATGAGGCTTCAGTTCATCAGTATCTAAGACCTCTATTGTTTTAATGAGTTGAAAACAAGAACATAGGAGATTCGGGTGGTTTTTGTAAACAATTTTAAAGTCATTGTCGAGTGATGGGAATCGATCAAATGTTCTAGAACAGAATTATTAACCAATTTTCTTTCATCTTTACAAAACCAAGCTGGAATATGCTCTCGTATACGTGTAGAAGGTATTCTCTCCGGTTATTTCATGCACATAGAGGTCGCAAGAAAGGGGAGTTTATCTTTCATACAAAAAGAGGGCAGTTTATGGCTGATAAAAGTCAATTAGTGTTTTGCTGCGAAGAAAGTTTTACACTGATTGATTTAAATAGACAATTCTTGAGTACATTTGATGTTAAGCTCATGAACCATGTTTTCTTTGAAACCGAGTGGATGACCCGGTTTGGTATTTCTCTAACATTAGATTTTTTATGCATGAAACGGCAGGGAGATAACCGTTCCTAATAAATGTTTTTTTTTTTAAAACGATACCTCTCTACCAATACAATCTTCACTACAGATATTTCTTATTCAATAAGCGAGGGGATGAATAAGATTCCCTCTTAAGTTGACAGGTGCCCAACTATCACAATTGATTAGTTGTCTGTTCCATGTTGCTTTCCCGTAGATGAATCTTTTCAGGAATCCATTAATACGTCTAGTAAAACACATAAAGTTGATTCTGATTTCTTCTTTAAGGGCTAAGTGGCATTCATTGGATGAATAAATCGGGAATAACATCCAAATCAACATCTTTTATCTACAGATGACAAACATGTTATCCATTCATTTTCTGTAAAAGTCAAAGTGATGAATAGTTTCATAAAGTTCAGTGTTCTCTAGTTGTTTCAACATGAAAAAATCTGCTAACAAATAGTCTCAATGGTGATACTCCACGACAATCGTATCTTTCTATCTAAAGATTTCAGTATTGAAATTGAATTTTGAACATTGAATGTGCACCTCAACAAAATCTCTTTCATCGAATAGCTAGTTAGCAGTCCTAGTGTAAATTATGTGCATCAATAGAGTCACATATATAACATATAGTCTCAGTGAATGACAAATATGTGAACAATGAAGTAATGTTTAGTGAATACATCATCTCTTCTATACAGCATTACAATCTTGAATACCCTCAACGAAGTGAAATGTATCAAAAATACAAAAACTAAACACTTGCCTTCTAACAGATTAGAGTATTTTAACTAGCTAATTGAACAATTTGATTATAAGGAAAACCAACCATATCCAAAATCGAACGAAGAGATAAACCCATTTTATGTATTTTTTATAATCCATATAGACGTAGAATTATAGAAATAACCGGTCATATACGTTCATATAAACTAGGGAGAATTATCCCTTATGTTATTCAAGACACTTGTGAGTTTTCTTTCAACTAAACGCGTCTTTATGGTCTTGTATTCAGACTTAACAAACTCGATTTGATTGGAGAGAATTACCAAGAGTTTATCAATGTATTTGTGACGATTCATCAAGATGACTTACGATAATCTCAGTGTTATCTTTCAGTAATTTGAGTTGTTGTATGTGATACTTAGTCAACAAATGACCACGAATAAATAAGTCACACTATTGTAATAATCATGCTTACCTTGTATTACGATCTTGATCACGTATCTTTTTCTCCATTTCCGCATCAGTCAGTACTTCAACAACCGGACTCCATTGATCAGCTTCATTGGAGTTACGAAAAACTATATCGACTGTTGGCAAAGGTGATTCACTAAAATATATATGAATCGAAATGAAGTAACCGGTGAAATATGAGCGGGGATTGTTTTAAGAACTATGCCGACAAAAAGTGATGGAGTTTATCTAGCAGGGGAATCCAAAACGCGCGTCTCATTCTATTTGCGACTTATGAACTGGATGTACCTGCACTCCAGTGAGTGATGGCGTTTTCACCGGGACTCCAACCAAGCACCCATAGCTTCGGTATAATAAATATTTAAGCAGTGTCGGAACACACGTTTAGGAGCCCATGTAAAAACAGACGTTGAGCAATTCGATCCAGTATAACGGGAAATCACAAGTATCAATAAATGAGGTAATTCATCGACTGAGACATGTATCACGCATGTCTAAACACTGTCTATCCAGGTCAGAAGGAGTTAAAGGCGTAAAACTCAGACATGGTATCAGTTCATTAAGTTATGTGATTGTTGACGTAAGGCTTCTGGGGGAAATCCACTTGACAATCGAAATCGGTGGTAGAAGACTCTAGATGTTATGGACGAGAGTTGATCTCAGTGGCGTGCACTTTATTTTGATAGTTATTTCACTTTCTTTGTTTCCCGTCTTACAGGTTTTATGACTCTCGACTTCATTGTATCTGTCTGTCTGTCGTCTTGTTCTGTTGTACCTTGATGCAGAGATGCGAGGTTTGACAACTTGGATTGTTAATCAGCTGAGAGACATCAACATAACCGATGATATAGTAGACTGGTCTTAGACACTCAAATTTCAATTAATGGATGCTGGATTGAAAAACCTACTCCATCTACTTTAGTCTAGGCGACTAGCAGTAAGTATAATAATCCCTTACATATTTAATGTGGGTTGGCCTATCACATTAACCTTAACAGGTTGATAGGTTGAAATATACTTCACTTACCATAATGCTAATAAAGCCAGATTCACTTTTGCGACTTCTATCACACAAAGAGGAATACTTGTAACTTAGTGGATAAACTTTCTGACGTCCGAAGCAGTAAGTGTTGGGTTTGAGCTTCATCAGGAGTAAAATAACTCACTAGGAAGTATCTAAATCTACCTAAAATGTCCAAATCGGATGAATCGCGTGTTCTCAATCCAACTGCTACTAGCAAACCAGTAGTAACAGGGTATCCACAGGTATCTAAATAGTGACCGATCAATTAGATCCCATTAAAGACAAGAGATAACAGGCTATTACATCTTTTTACAATCAAGCAATTTTTGGTGATGTAACGATAGTGCATAGAAAAACTTAACAAGTTCGCTTTCCAAATTACCTTGTTTACTCTTTGGGTATTATTAACGTTCGTCGACTATCTTTTATCATCAGATTGAAGTAAATTCTTTGTGCTTCCTGAACTATCAAGCTCATATTTCTCTCCACCAGATTCTCATACAGGCTGAGTACACTGACTACCACTGCTGAGAATACACACCGTCTACTATTTACTCCACTTGTAACGAACCACCTTGAGGTTAAAAACCTAGCAACAGCACTAGTCATTACAACTATCCTAAATTTCTTGCTTATGTCCCCCTTAATATAACCATTCAGTTAGCTAGACAGTAGTACCTTCAATTACCATACATATATCAACAGTACCTCATAACCTAATACACTGATTGGTCCATTTGAGAGTAACCAATTTCATGTTGTCTAGTCCTACGTGCTAACCAGATTTTAACTGTATCACTGAGTGATGTGAGTTTCCATCTCTTGGAAGAGACAAGTCCCTCTTGAGGTTGCAGATGTATGTACCTTACTGACTCAAGAGGAAAAAAGCAAAAAAATCTAGGTGAAGCAAGGCTTCCTACTGGTCGCCTTAAACATAAACACGTACCAAGTTGCTGATTTACGTGTTTACTATAACTGTTATAATTAATACAAGGCAGAGAGTAATCCAGTGGTAAATAGAACATTTACAGTTGAAATAGTCATTGTCATTGTGTTTTAACGGCTAATCAGAAACTGAATGTTTGAGTTAAATGCATAAAACTCAGAGGTCAGCTGTCACAATGAGAATAGATTATAACTAAACATGCATTCCTATCCTTTCTCTTTGTAAAATAAAAGCATTGAAGAATACACAATAGATTTACCTGAAGGCGTAAATCTTTTGGTGCCAAGCAAGTTGTCCACGTATACTATAAGCAACAGCTGTGACAAATTCACCGCCTAAACCTAATTCAGCGCATAATCGTGAAGCAAACTGTTCTGGTGAATTATTTGGCTCTGATAGATCCCATTCAAATTGATCCACTAAAGAGATATTGCCAACATGTATATTCAATCGAATAATAACACGTGTATCAGTTTGTCCAACAAGAAAATCATTCATTGGATGTGCTTCAATCTATCAAAGATAATAGGAAACAGTATATTTGATACGAAATGGGGTAAAATGGAAAGTTTTTGTATTTCAACCTTGTTTCATATTACTGTATGGTCAGGAAAAACCTTATTGGAGAAATTTATCCTACAGTTGGCCAATCAAAATGAATATGGAACTTATGACTTCGTGGTTTTATATATTCATGGAACTGTATATGAATGATGTATTTTTGTCGAATAAAGTGTCTTCCGCACAGTCATAAACCGGTCTTTGTTTACTGATTTTCGAGGCTCAGTGAGCAATAAGGTTCTGAAAGAGAACAGTCGCTATTTGTGTCCAATCCAAGTGTCTCATCGCATCTTTCTTAGTATTCAACTCGGTTACTTTACTAATGATTGACCAATCTGTTTCATACTAGACACTAACTAATTGGAGGTATGAATCACTAGTCTATGCAGTTGGCTTTTAGCCAATGGATCATGCTATCGAACATCCCTTCGCCTACTGCACGAATGTGCACAAGGTTGCTGAGTATATCCTTTTTTAGATATTAAATATTGAATAGAAGCATAGTCAAGCATTTTGAAGTTTTCATTTGATTTCCTCAATTTTATGATGAACTAAGCTGGGAGTGGAAATAAATGCTCACTAAAGACAATAATTAATCACAAATTAAATGGTGTTGGAAAATGTTGACCAGCAAAATCTATGAAACTGAATCGATTCCCGAGTACTCTACCATAAACCTCAAGGTCATTTCGTTTTAATCTAGTATAACATCATCGGTAGTGAACAATTAAAAATTCCATAAGCCCATCCATGCAACAAAGATTCAATGCTCAAAGTTTTACAATGATTCAATAACGCTAACGCTTCAGTAAACCTAAGTATATGCCACTGACAGTTTCCATATTTATGTACAATTGTAACCCCCCTAATGTTGTTGTTTGAATTATTACATCGTTGAGTGGACCGAATTGATCGGTCTCTATAATAATAATACAAGCAATAGCATTACAACAATACCCATCGTACAAAAAGTGGCTTTCTCGATTCAGTGGTCTAGTGGATAACGCTCTGGTATTTGAGGCAGTCGGTCCTGAGTTCGAACCCCGGTAGGGACGACATCGCTCTCACTGGGAGGCTGGTACATCTGGCTGACGAGTCCCAAAATTTTTTTCTTTCTGGGTAATTCGATCAGTCTTCCCTATTTATGTGTGTTCACATACACACACACACATGTAAATCGATAAATATAGTGGGATGTCAGGCAATCGTTCATACAATGTTGAGGTCTGTGTTGTACCATGTGTTAGGTTTTCTTAACTATGATAAGCTTAGCTTCATAGTATGTTTTTTCTAATGCCAAACCTTAGCCTTCATTTGAAAACTACGCTGTAAGATTCCCCTGTGTATATCAACGCAACATAAACGTATTTCTTTGGAGCAGAATACAGGTTAGGTTTCAACGATGGCCAACGCTATGTGAACTTCAATCGATATTTATTTTCCACTAATGTTTCAGAGTTTCTATTCGTTTTATTTACTCGTGTTTTTTTTGCTTCTTCGCTTTAATGAAGAAACGTAGTGAGTGATCGTTTCGACCATCAGTTGGAACTGAAAAGGGTTGAATAGGAAGTTTAGTAGTCAGTGGTCCCAGTATTTTCAGTTCACTTTCCATATAGTGATCTTTTTCTTAAGTTCTAACGGTATTTCATGGCAGATAAGTTGATATACGCATTTCTTTGGTAATCCTTACATTCACAATATTATCTATGCTGATATCTATTTTTCTCAAAATGCATTTATGATTATTTCTTGCCCTAAAATATATGTAGAAACATGATAAGTTGGCTTGTAGATTATTGATCTCAATAGGGTTTATTTTCTCTACGTTCCTATGCTCTGATAAGGTGGGTGGCTCAGCATGACTGGTTGGTTTAACCTATGATCCACAACGCTGATAATGTTTATCTCAGTTACTGAAACATAACTACAACACAATAAAGTGGAGAGCAAAACAATACCACTTAAAGCCAATACAGTAGACTAGGGAAAAAGGAGACGAGAGAGATTGATTATCGAGTCTTTATTCATTGATTTAATACTTGATACACGCAATAGGACTAACGTAATAATTACTCAGGAGATGGGAAAATCATACTGCCAATGAAAACAAACAATGACAGATGATGAAAAGACGTCGAAAACTGTGTGACCATTCTGATTTGACTATGACCAATAGTGATAACAGCATCATTATTAGTATCCCCCTCACTCACTCACTCACGGACAGAAAATGATTACAGTTGGAAGATTACAGCTGATCAAAGAATCAGCGATCTCAGGATAACTTCGGAGATGTCCCGTCAAGTAATATCTCTACAAGATTGCACTTTTTTGTCATCTCTTAATCTTCGCTTTCATTTTTTTTAACAGGTAGACAGTGTGATGTAGGATGAAAACGTTTATTAGTTTATATCTTAATTAGCAGGATGTATCTGAGTTAGCATTTTGGAGTTCAATAAAGACACCTTTCATATCATTTTCATCTTAATCATTATACAACATATTTTGTTAATTGTCTAATATGTCTATAACTTTTTATTAGACCGTTTTTATTTCATCTTCTTGTCTTTCATTGTATTACCATCTTACATCTTGAAGCGCTGATATGAGCTATAGATAGAAAGAAAATCAACGTGAAACCTAGCACATAAGTCCATCGATTCAAGTTGCTAAACTTTATAGTAGTATAGAAAGTAATAAAAAGTGAATACATCTGCATCATTTTGACCGATTTCTAACCATTTCATCAAAAGTCCTCAACTATAGATCTGTATCGTTTGGAGGATACCTAGTCAGGAACTTCATGAACTAGTATTGTCATCGTCTGATCAATTACTCAGTAACCATATAAAAGAAGTATATCTATCAAGATTTGAGTATATTGTATCTCGTGATTGATATATACTACTGATAAGTTTCAAGCTAAGATGTGAAACAACTATTCTCGTTAGTTGATATCATTAATTGATGAGAATCATCTTCAAGCTACAAACATATACAATCCACAAGTATAAACCACTTGATTGGATAATAGTAATTCAATGCTTTATATCAGACTTGAATAGCATTCATGAATGGAATATCATAGAATAAATGTTGTATAGAAATCCTTCATTTAAATATGTAATGAACATTCATTGTGTTGCTTATATCCAAAGGGAACAATAAGAATTCATAATACCATTATTCTAATCTACAGTATTCCAGTTATATCTTTTTCAGTTGTTAATCTGGGTCACACAAACCTTTCATTATAATAAGTAAAAGTATTGACAGTTTATGTCATAATCCTATTGACAAGATTCTACTACCATAGCTAAAATTAAGGGTATTAAGGCAAGAGATGGAATTTGATTGATGAAATTGTGAACTTTCATCAACTGAAATGACTTGAATGTGTACTACTCATTGCTGACCCACTGCCTACCTTGACGTGACATGTTAGGTAAAGTTGGATTAGTTTGGAAGTGTTCATGTTGACCAGACCAAGACCTGAAATCAACCTATGAAGTTTCTAACTGATGGTCTAAGCCATGTGAGGAGATGTAGACTGCCTAGATGAGGTCTCCGAGAATATAACAATAAGTAGTTCATGGACTCTTGGTGAAATGACTGAAAGTTGGTCATAATGGCCCAGATGTACTCATTCTTTGACTTCTTCTAAAGCTTGAATACTCACAATAACCTTTATCTTCAGACTGTTTATTTTCTCACACAACTTTATCTGCTTTGACATCACTCTTGTTCCATCCACTCGTTCTTTGTAGTGTGTGTGTGCTTGTGTGACAACTCGAACCGATACACTTATGTACGGAGTTCTAAGTTGGTTTTGTCTATCTGTCTGAGTGCTAAAATTCAGTATGAAGACATTATACACTCATTACACACTACATAGGAGCCCATATGCCGATAGAGGTCGAACAATTTGACCCGATAAAATAATGGAGAATCACAAGTATGTCAATGAATAGTAATAACAAGTACCCGTTGTACAAGAAGTGGCTATCATGCGTCCGTGGCATAGTGGATAACGCTTTGGCGTTTGAGCGATGGGTACAAGCTTCGAGTCTCAGTGGGGACAACATCACTCGCTGAAGTGCAAGTAAGTCCAGCTGACGATTCCCGGATAGGACGAAACGCGCGTTCTGGATTCTTCTGTTAGCCACAACCAAACAAATAACATTACACACATGAAAAATCAACAGCCCTCGAATGTTTATGGGGGATGCGACTTTTTACCATGTTCAGTAACAACTCAATTACCCAGAAGCAATTTGGAAACTGCTTCAACACTACAGAGTGCCACAGACCTTTATCAATCTCATTTAACAGCTAGATGCTATGCTATATGATGTTACATGCCAAGTGATTCGCGATGGAAAGCTCAGTGATGCCTTTGAAGTGAAGATAGGAGTGAGACAACGCTGACGCCTACTATCACCGATCATCTTTCTGATTGTGGTCGACTGGACTGGATCATGCAACAAACTGTGAGTGAGAAGAGGGGCATACGCTAGCTGGACAGATGAAAAGACCCCAGTAAAAGTTTTGGATTTCGCCAACGATGCTTTATGTCTGATGTCGCGCAAACTCGAAGATTTACAAGCAAAAGCCAACAAGTTGACAGAGGAGACAGCGAAGACGGGACTTCAAGTGAATGTAGAGAAGACAGAGGTGATGAAGATGTCCAACCAATAACAATAACAGCAAGCGACAATCACCATCAACGGGAGAAATCTAAAGGAAGAAGTCTCTTCCACCTACCTAGGCAGCATCGTTTCAACTACAGGCGACACAGGCACAGATGAGGACGTCAAAGCCAGGATCAGAAAAGCAAGCAAGCCTTCATTAACCGGAAATCAGTGTGGAGATCTATTGCACTCCACTCCACTTAGCATAAAGCGTGAACAAGACCCAGATTTTCAACATTAATTCAGTCAAGTCAGTACTTCTTTATGATGGTTCAGAGACTTGGCGCGTTACGAAAAGCATTTCCAACAAACCAAAGACATCCATCAACGGCTGCCGCCTACGCTTACTCGGTACTGAAGATCAGATGGCCACAATAATAAGAATAAGCAAGAAGGAACTCTGGCTCGCAACGAACCAACCAGGAACCTATCACCCAACAAATGTGTAGAAGTGGAGATGGATCGGATTGGGCATACACTGAGAAGACCGTTTGGCGACATTAGTCGCCCGGCCATGGAGTGGGAAACGACGAATTGGACGTCTGAGCCGAGGGTGACATGGAGGAGATGGTGTGAGGAAGAAATGAAAGCTTTTGGGGAGTCGTGGATCCAGGTTGAAAAAACTGGAGGGAAGAGAGTGAAATGCTGACGTGCTACTAAAGCCGTATGTTCCATTAGAAACCCAAAGGACAAATAATAATATAATTATAATAACAATTCAAAACAAAACCAAATAATGACCTATCGACGAGTTCCATTAAATGCTCAATGGTAAAGTTGCCGACTGCAACACTCGGTGATGAGGGTTCGAATTTCTGAAGGGACATCAGTTCCCTTGAAGTTAGAGATACACCTTGGTGAAAAGTGTGTCAACAGTTAAGACGAAACCTACCTTAGGGGATTCCTATGGATTGTCTCCGACCAGCTAACTGCGTGAGCCAGGAGTGAATTACTAAGAATCTAAGCTTAGGATAGGTATTTCAGAATTTTTCCACATGGTTAGTTGGAATGAAACACTTACGTATTGTGCAGTAACAAAATAAATACATGTTTTAGATTGGAATTTATCATGGGCTGACATTAATTGGAGGAACATTGGAAACGTGGGAGCACTGAGCAGCTGTTCCGTCCTAGTATAGGACTCCTTAGCAGTGCGCATCCATGATGCCGCCTGATCGGGGATCGAACCCAGGACCTTCAGGTCCCGTGACCAGCATATTACCACTTAGCCACTGGGACGGAATCCAATGATCTATATTTTGTACTTCTGTCAGTTTACGATATATCACGACCTACATCCATTGTCGTTGAGTAACTGTCCTTATGTTCCACTTGGTTGACTTCCCTCGTCAGGACTTCTCATGGGAACTTCGGGAATCACCTCTCGTCACCAATGAGTTCTAAATTAATTCTATCTGGAGGTTCTGAAGATTTTCTTATTGATTTCAGGTTAGAATTCATCACTGAGTTCATTATCATCAGGGTTTGGCACAGCTGAGGAATCCCGTGCTAGGATGAGACAGCTGTCCAATGCTCCCCAGGTTTCCAATATTCCTCCAATTTGTGTCAGTCCATGCTGAATACCTACCTAAAAACAATTAATAAATTTCCACAAACCTCCAGATAGAAATATAAGTTTAATACTTTAAAATCGTATCTTAACGCTAAATAACTAAATAACAGAACAAATATGAACATGGTCAATCATTTTGCGTAATTATTAAGCTAAGAGCGAAAATTTAGATTTCAAGCAGTTAAACTTACCAGTAATATGAGTAAGTAAAGGCTGACTGAGAGATCTGTGTATCATTTGAAGTTGTTGCATGAAACTATGAATCTCACGCAAAAGATTATGGCTAGTAGTTGAATAAAGCGCTTATCAGAGTAAATTTATGCTGATAACTGATGGATTATCATCAATACAACTAGTCAATTCGATATGGATTTATTTACTAGGCTATGAAGATAAACTTATTGTATGGGGGTTTATGATACCGTCTTCAGAAGGGTTCGAACGTAGTACCTATCGCTTTAAGTGATACATAACTAATGGTCAATATTATAACTGAAATTTTGACCAACTGCTAACTGAAAATCAAGTGTCAACACAATAACTCTTAGCTACACTGTAAAAATGGATATTACAGTCGTATTTTTATTGGTCAGTCGTGATCTAAAGTAGCCACAGTCGATTACCCAGCAATCAAGTGTACATTTATATAAGTGAAAAACTTGGGCACTGTGGTAGAATGTAGTTCCATATTAGATTTGTTTATTTGATATAAAGCGCACAGTGATACAGTATTACTTACTTGATTACGTTTCGAGCATAAATTATTACTGCTCATAATCATATCAATGTAATCACACTTCTTTCGATATCTGATTTTATAGTCCTGTCACCTGATCTCTCTTTGTTGTTTTGATTGGTAGTAAAGTTTTCCATATCTCTGGTATAGGTGTTGCGTCATTCCTATTACATGTGTTGGGTGTGGATTCGATGAATAAAGATTCAGTAATTAATCTCTCTCTCCACCTAGCTATATTAGACTTAAGTACTGTGGTTTTGTCCCACCCTATTGTGTGGTTGTGTGTTAATGAATGTAATGCAATGGCCGAGTGTTTTTCTAGGTTACTGATCTTATTGGGGTCTGCCGTTCTATGTTTAGCTAGATTAACAGAACATAGGAATTTAGCTAAACATAGAACGGCAGACCCCAATAACATCAATAACCTAGAAAAACACTCGGCCATTGCATTACATTCATTAACACGCAACCACACAATAGGGTGGGACAAAACCACTGTACTTAAGTCTAATATAGCTAGGTGGAGAGAGAGATTAATTACTGAATCTTTATTCATCGAATCCACACCCAACACATGTAATAGGAATGACACAACATCTATACCAGAGATATGGAAAACTTTACTACCAATCAAAAAACAAAGAGAGATCAGGTGACAGGATTATAAAATCAGATATCGAAAGAAGTGTGATTACATTGATATGATTATGAGCAGTAATAATTTATGCTCGAAACGTAATCAAGTAAGTAATACTGTATCACTGTGCGCTTTATATCAAATAAACAAATCTAATATGCAAGTGTACATTTAGCCTAAATGTATCTGGCAGGAAATCCACCCCCAACTCTATAAACACAATACATAGAAAATATACCTTTTAACTTCTTCTTCTTACCTGTTGACGCATTGCATTAACAATAGCTGGAACAAAATTGATTGGATTCAAATCTAGATCATCACATAATACTTCAGCCATTTGCTCTAATGTAATTAATTGTTCATTACGATTCCATGTGAAACAATCACGTAATTTTACACCATCACATTCTATATCTAAACGTATTGGTACTAAACACTCTGGTTGACGAGCATTCTCATGAAAAGCAATCGGATCAGAATCATCCAAACAAAATGGAAATGTGAATGATTTACTTGTTTGTCTAGCTGTATAAACATAGAGAGAGAATTATACAAACAATCAAATTAGCTTTCTTCAAAAAACAAACAAAAAACACAGAAGATATGGAATCTAACCCAGCAGTCAGATGGGATACTTATTGAACTAGGAAAATCTCAATAAATAGTGATGGAATAGGGTTCAAACCACTCATCCACTGGTTGAAAGAAATATATCTCATTTCTCAAGCACCAACAAAAAAAAGAAAGATAGATCCTTTCTGCTAACCAATGGTAAAACACTACAACAAACTTTTCAAAGACACATTATTACTATGATAAACAGAATCAGTAAATACACACTTAATTGTGTGAGTATGTGGCAGAGGTGTAAAACCATCTTAAAGGATTAGATGAACATATGAAGTGAACATAGATGCGCTTTTACTGTTACTTTTAAGCAACACTTCCTTTACAATTCCTAATCATACTAAATGAGAAGCCCTAAGCTATCGTCTTACGTAATTCATACCCACAACAACCATCAAGTTAATGAAGTCACTAACTAACTAACAATGCATCGAAGCACTACACAGGATGATGATGTGAACCATATAACTTGAGGTACTAGATTTCAGAAGGTTTCTATTGATTCCTTTTGATCCTTAAATTCTTTCCAGATAGACATTTTACTTATAAAAAAGTTTGATGATAGGGGATTTAGGGATCGTACGCATGTAATATACTAAATCCTACAACCAGGTGATCCCTAACTAACATCATACGATGGTGAGAATCTAATTATTATTTCGGTTAAATCACTTGATAGAATTAATGATTTTCATACAAGGAATGTTTGTAAACTTTTAAGTTTTTCGAATAAAATCAACTGTAAACTAACTTAGCAACCAAATGCATATCTGTGCACTACTACTAGGTGGCTATGAGTGTAATAATACCATCTGGTTGCCAAAACCTTCACAGAAGCTGTGATTCATTTGTTTAGAAGATAGTCAAAGGTCAGGTATTCGAACTTCAATCTATTTAATGAGGCTCGGGTGGCTGGATACGAGTGTCATTAACCCTCCCCCATATACAATAAACGCGACTATTTATCTGAAAAGGTTTCAACCTCTTAAAATCCTTTGAAACTAGTAGATATCAAATGTAGATTTGTGAGAATTTATTGACTCAAAGAAACTTTTCTTGATGGATTAATATCATACAGAGGACTGTTGAAACCTTGAGAGAACTCGGCAGCTGTTCCGTCCTCAGCTGTGCACACCCACAACCATGTAAGGGATCGAACCCAAGACCATGGTGTCTTGTGGTCAACAACGCGTTACAATCCAGCCACTGGGTAGGAATCCAGTGGTTCACTTGTCTTACTTCTCTTAATCGACGATATAGCATCATCTTCAAATGTCATCGGTGAGCATCCACCTCACTCACGACTAGAATATTTAATACCTAATGTTGAATCCATCGAAATATCTGGAAGGTAAGCTGTCAAGGAAGATGTACACCCTAGTGCATTGATCTGAGCCTAAAAATGTAGATAAGGAACAACAAACAAGCAGTTTTGTGTCAAAACTAAGAACTTCAAAGAAACTGAGTAGATGTTAGCTGGTTGAGTGTAGTTGGCAGGAAGTCTTCGATCCGGTTTTTATGTTTTTTGGTTCTGATCAGTCAGGTGTACCTGCAGCCTTGACGAAGCCTAAATTGAGGGCTTCCTGAAAATTACCCCCAACCACCTAACGTCAGTCTTAAGTGTAATTCAATGAAGAATCTCTTAGGTTGGTGACCACACTGAAAAATGATCGATTAAAGTCTAGTTGGTACTTCGAAAATGGGCAACATGAAATTGATTACTCCGCAGGGACTAATCAACGCATACCAACTAAATCGCTGATCTACTGAGCTCGTATTTCAAAGTATCTAAATCTAATTCTTTAAAAATCGGTTGTTTTCATTCATTACAAATGAAAAATTGACTAATTTTATTTTCACGACACCAGAGGGGACTTAATTTATGTATGCCATCAAAATGAAAGTAAGATGAATCTTAGGTACTACTAGACTGATGAGATCATAATGAGTACATGTTTTTTTCCTTCTATAATCATGCTATAATAGTGACTGACTTCAATTATTCAATTACGAATTATTATTCTACTGGCTCGGTTCATTCAGATACCAGTAAAAACGTTGGCAACAATGGGTGAAATTCCTGTAAATATATACGGATAAATCAAAGTGGAGTGTATAAATCTAAGCCACTGTAATTGATTTTCAGCCAACCAAGGATTTATATTAACCTACGGACCCCAGTCAGACAGTCTATACCACCCTCTTTACACGGTTCAGACCAACAGTAAAAGACTTCATGAACTTGGTTTGGTCTGCTTTAGTCTTCTTCCAACTTAATAATCCTACTTCGCCTAATATTGCACGTCAGAGTAAACTGTTGTTCGAGTTATAAAACACGAGTTACGAACCAACTCAGTCACAAGCTAATCGACTCATTTAACTCTTTTGCCTAGTGCCTAAGCTTAACATAAGGCATGCGATGACTTCACCATATACAAGGAGTATTACATAGGCAATTATGATCAAAACCATGTAACCTCTTTCTATGTCTTCTAATTTAACGACTATATTTACACAGAGAAAAAGTGCACTTACCTGTTCGTAACCGACTTATCGGGGTTGGACAAGGAACAGAATCTAAATGAAATGATGTGTTTGGAGTTGAACCAACTCCCAGCCATCTGCTATCTCGTCTAGATTTAAAATTACCACTTGTAGTTGTATGATCGATAACACCAGAAGTATTCATTAAACCAGTAGGCAATGTATTTGATATTGTTAAATTTCCGCTAGAATTAAGACTTGTCCGACTGATAGCACTAAGACCAATATTGCTTTTAGTATTCCCACTTGTAGTACCATTTCTTAGACTACTAGGATTTACAGTCAAATTACTAGGAGCTGATGAACAATCCTTGATGGCGAGAACATTTTTCAAATCTGATAACCGATCTTGATCGCATATTATTTCATTGACTTCATAAGTACGCAAAAGCATAGCGTTGGCAGCAGTTATTTGTGTTGCCAAACCTGCAGAATTGAAAGTAAAATTGAATGATAGATTTAAGCAGCGTTCACAGAAGAATGTATGTGAAAACAAGCAGGTTAACAACACAATAACCTTAACTTAAGCTGGTAGAGAAAAATACTATAATCATATTTTGGTGAGGTAGCCGAATTTGGTGCTTGTTATTGAGTATATTACTTATGAGTAGGTGATGTTGTTTTGTGCACAGTTTCTTACCTTCTTCTGATCGCCTGTCTGTTGTTTTGTGGATATTTGCTGTCATCTAATCCGTGGAAGTCATGCGTCGGCATCCAACCGTTTGTTAACTGTAACCTGGACAATGTTTGCTGTTGGAATCACCTTGAATGTATTAGTTATTACTAAACACAGAACCACTAACTATTATTGTCATAAGAAAACCAGATAGCCTTCTGAATTACAACATTTCGGGTGAATTTTATCGAATATGAAATAATTTTTATGTTTGATAAAAGCCCGTTGACCTATTTTCATTTAAATGATAAACGTATCAACCACATACCTATACCAAATTCAAAGCCATTATTTCACGATTTGCCACAAATAAAGATGTTGGGCAAACCCAGTGCAACTTCGTTTGTATGATGGTACATTCTATCTCTAAACGTGAAAAAAATGTGGATTCTAAGCATAGCTTTAACGAATTTTATAATGTCCCATGTTGAAAATTGACATTCAGATGATATAATAAATCTTGATTATTAATAATTATATTTCTAACAGTAAAGAGAAATAATATCGAAACTTTTTATAAATTCATCTCCTTTGCTAATATATTTATGAGTTTATCGAATATGGCTATCAACTAGGTGAGTATGAAAAGACTAAAAATGTCGGCTAAATGTTTTTGTGGAATAAATTAAATAACAATCCAGAAAAAACAAAGTGTAAATGAAATAAGCCGGGTCCTTATAAATACAAACTGTGACCGAGATAACGCAAATGTACATTATATGTTAGACAACCAACGGGAATAGGGTTAGTAAGCAGCAGATAGGCTCTTATCAATGACTGAGAAGGTTGCAGCAGTTTCATCACCGTCGATTTCGTAATATAGGTCACGTATCGTGGTGTCACCATGTCAATAATGTAGAAGTCAGACATTAGGTTGGTGAGATTGTAAATCTTCATCGACTCAGATGGCTGACACAGGCTGCGCATACCTAGCACTCATCGATTCCTGAAGTCAATGCTAAGTGAAGTCTACTTCAAAAATCGAAATCCACTCAGCAATCTTTTGCACATTCGTGCAGTAGGCCATGAGCTATACCTATTGTATGAGTTACACTACTACTTGGCTGCCTAAACCTCGGTAAGTGGAGTGCTGTTCGAACCTGTAACCAACTGGTTAAACGTCAACTGCTTAATCCAATGAGCCACAACTCCACCGAAGTATTTCTAGAATGGAAAGAGGCTGAAGACGACCAAACTTCAACATGGAGTCAGTCCATGAAGTCTCTGGCCGCTGGTCTGAGTCGGGTATGAAAATGTACACTCCTAGGTTGTGTCCCACGTGGCAACCGAAATCAGCGGTTAAAGACTCTGGGTGATATGGCTGGGAATCGATTTCAGAGGTGTACAGGTTATCTTCATCATCTTGATACTATACTTGTTGATTCTTTTCAACACCATTTCTTATTATTGCTTCCTCCCAGTTTCGATTACATTCTCTGTCTCTATTTTGTTTTTTTCTCCCGGTGTGTCGTTTTTTGATGTGCTGATATCATATGTGAAAGTATTAACCATCTAATGTGGATATTGACTGATTGAATGATAGAGATGGATGGCAGTCATATATATCGAGGGTGTTAATAATTCAATAAAGGTGAAACTATGTTCTGCGGAAAACTAGATCACACATTGAAACTTTTCCCATCAGCGTATGAAGCTCATCGTTTCACTTTTCAATAAAGTAAACGAATGCAGATTAATCGATCGCCTTTGATAGGATGCAAGGTTGGTTACCATTTGATGACCAATTAATGAGTGGGATCTCAGTCTCACATGCAGTTACTCATGGTTTGAACAACTTAGGTGTTAGAGTCCGACTTTAGTAAAGAGTGATACATATCAAATCTTTAGGGAAGTATGAGTTTTCTGAAGATTCCATGTACGCCTCCTTAGTGAGTATAAGCCAGAGCAAAATGTAAACCTAAGAATTCCTGCTGATTAGCGTTTAACACACTCAGCATCAGATAAAGATGAACGGATACCAAATCACAGTATATATTACAAACTAAAAAACTGTACACAACTTACCCATTTGAATTAACTTTTCCTTTTCTTCTGGTGTAACTAAACGCTTCCATAGATTTGGATATTTCTTAAACAGTTCTTTACGAAACAATCGAAGGTATCGGCCCACCTAGTAATCAGAAATAGTATTTACTTTTTACCTACTATTCCTTCGTTTTTAATGTTAGATACACAGAAAGATGAAATCAAAGTAGAACCTCGCACAGAGGTGCATAACTTCAAGTTGTCACACTTTACAGTAGTATACAAATAATAGGTAGATAGGAAAAGTGATATCAAAGTAGACAAAGATGTGTGGGAGGAAAAGGAATTTGATAATAAGTACTGGTGAAAACGCCCAGGCTTTGGAAGACATCAAAAAGAGAATACATCTGCACCATTGTGACTAACTTTCAGCCATGTTACCAAGAGTCCTTAATCACTGATTCCTTTTGTTTCCGGGACCCCAACCAAGCAGTCTGAATCTCCACATACGACTCAGGCCAACATTAACAGACTTCATCGACTGGTGCTACGTCCTGGTCTGGCCACCCTGAACCCTCTTTCAACCTAATCCGACTTTCCCTAACATGGGACATCGAGGTGGACGGTGGTTCGGCATGGGCAGTAGACGCTCAAGCTATCTCAGTCGACTAAGATTTACAACTTCATTAATCGACTTGCCTATCTTGCCTGGTACCCTTATCCTGACCTTAACATTGATCACATGGTGGTTCCATTAAAACACGAACAATGCTACGAAGGCACCAGCTCCAGTTAGGCGTCGGATAACCACAGATACAAAAATCTTGGACACATTCCACTATGGTTTTCACAAGAAGATTTCTCTCTTATAGATTGAGATGATTACGGAAGTACACAAGTCTGATAGCACTACCTCTGATTCCCACAAACTACCTAGTTCCTCCGTCACTCTAGTCAGCAATTTCCTATCTCCATCCTTGAAAACTTCAGGTGGCAAACTGTCAAATCCTGCTACTTTGCATCCTTACAGGTGCGAAACAGCTTTTTCAACTTCAAGGAGAATTGGGGGACCAACATCTACATCCCATTGGGGTTCAAGCTGGACGTTTGGCAACTGAAGCGTTGCTGAGGGCCAGTTGAACTGTACTTTGAAGTGTTCTACCCATCGTTCTATCCCCCTGTTCTGGAAGGCGGTTATCAGGGTTTCATCCCTTTGGGTGGTGCTTTCACGAACCACCGTCTTCTTCTCGTCGGTATCCTTAATAAGCCTAAATAGTTGCCGAGTGTTACCCGCCACTGCTCACGATTAATGCGAAGTCTACTGGTCAGCTTACGTTTGAGTTGCTTTTGCTCTTCATTATGGTGAGAGTCAGCTGGAATCAGTCTTCTCGCATCAATCAGTTCGGATGACGTCGCGGAAACCTAATGATATTTGGTAACCTTTATATGTAGGTTACCAACTGTCTACCTCCGTTTCTAAAGCAGACTTAATATCACCCCGTGTTGTTTCAGGATGAACATCGTTGTCATGTTCAGATAAAATGCGTTTTGAGCGTCGAACATGTTAGACTCAATAACTTTTAAAAACACATCAACAGCGAATCTTATTGACATTGAAAAGGAAATTAGATAATAATCTTGAAAGTTTCTAGTCAACGAATTTTATCAGGTACCGCAGTTCATTCCACAAACATAGATTGAACTTTGTTTTCTTAAGATCTTTATTTCGACTCTTTGAACTGCTCTAATTACTTCTTTCTAACTTGATATAAATGTTTGAAGTGGATATGTGCGGAAAGTTACCTAAACAATCGATTTGACGAAAGCTTTCTTTTGTGGTATCATATATGATACCTAAGCTTTTTGTATTCCATACTTTCACAAGATAACCAAATGAAGTAGTGGGAAATTGTGATCGCATAATCAAAGAACCACTCCCGTACAGCTCGCATTGGACATGTCTCAGTCACAGGGCAAGTACGGTGTTTCTAACAAGTGGGAGATGAAGTATCAAAAAACAATTTATTACAAATAACTAAGAAGTCAACTCTTAGGAACCGTTCGCCTTTTCATGCAGTAGGTAGGCAGTCAACCACACCTGTTGGGTGACGGCTAGTGATACTACCCTGACTGCTCAGACTTAAGTAAGTATATCGTGGGGACCACAACAGCACAGTCAACATTTCCATACACGGTTTAGTGACTGTGAACTGCTACTACATCACTGTACCAGCTTTTACCAACTAGCTGGTATCTCAACAAAAATTGTCCTTAAATACTGTAATTACACATTTAACACCACAGACGTGTGGATGAAGATAGTGGAACTACACGTGTCAGAAGCGTCTTTATTCGATTATGCCAGGTTACAATAACAGCTGAACCAAAAACTAACAAAACTTTACTTATCACCAGTTGTTTATATTTTCGGTAACCACTTTTTCGTTTTGCTGACACTGAAAACAAACTACTTATGATCCGTAGTGAACATACACTGATGCTTAACAGCCTGGTCATTACTATAAAGGAAGGATGGAAAAGGTAAGTGCGCTCTTTTTTTGAGTCTTAGTGAAGATTTAAATAACAATTTCGCACCATCAATTAATCTTACAACCAATAAAAGGTAATAAACAACTATCATCAGAATTTTGCTTCACAAAGTACCCCTTACCTCTGATGCTAGGTAAAAATATTCACCATCCGGTTCAAGTTGGAATTCGATTGGTTTTTCTCCGTAACGGAAGGCTGTTTCCATTGGACAACACAAAAAATATATATCCAAACTAGATAAAACAAGCAGAAATGATGGGGTAAGTTGAATTCGGCACTCTTTGGTTTCAGCTGTTTTGCCTTGATATGTGTACTCAAAAATTGCAGATGTCTAAAGTGTTTACCATTACACAGTCCAATGGTTATGTGGAATACCTTTAAGGCTTCAGTCACGAGTGTTACCGAACCACAATGACTGTGTATTTACTGTTCTGTCTTATCCGATAAAAATTCTACAAAACAGAAATAACAAAAAATTACACATCGAATATATGTTAACCCAACCAATAAATGTGAGGAACAGATAGAAATAGAAATCAAATACATAGCTATTCGGTGGCCAAGAATACAAATCCTAACAACTGCGATTCGAAACAGGCACAACCAATACTTCACAATATTTGATTTCTTGGAACTAAGCAACTTATGATTATAAGTAATCAGACTCAACCAATAACTACCCATTCTACTGCATTTATTTCATATACCTGTCTAGATCATCCAGTTAGCGCCAGCAAGCAAACTTAACGGGTTAGTTTAGATGAGCAACGAAGTATCTGCAGAAAGTAGCAACCAGGTTATTTATATATATATATATATATATATATATATATATATATATATATATATATATATATATGTCCAGTTCATCTATCGGGGTTTGGGAAGACATACACCACTACTTAGAGAAAATTAACACAAAATACCATACAGAAGTACATTACTTTAAGTTGTCACACTTTACAGCAGCATGTAAACTACAAATAAGTAGAAAAACAGGGAAATCAAATAAGACAAAAGTGTGGGGAAGAATAAAGTTGAAAATGAAGGTTGGTGAGAAGTTGGAAGAGTGAATGTATGTGGCATTGTCACCCATGCCATCAAGCGCTCCTAACTACTGTTTTCTATCGTCTCGAGGGCCTCGACCAGGCAGACGACATCTTCCTACACAGCTTAGAACAACAGTTGAAAAGTTCACGACTGGCACTACATCCTTGTCTGGTTACAGCGAGTCCTTTTCCAAACAAACACTACTGCTCCAGGTAACACTGCACAACAATGTAGGATAATCTCCCACATCATTTGATTAAAGCCTTAAAAGACGAAAACCCACAACTTTAACAGTTTTCTCTAGTGTTGTTGATAAGGATTTCAGTTCTTAAGATCTGAGAAGTGGTCAAACGTTTGGCCACTGTTTTGACCGGGCCAAACGTAGAATCAGTGAGGTTGGTAGTAGGGTCAACAATCATTTTGTGGGGCCAGACCTCGGGTCATTTATAAAATCTTAGGGCAAAATATACATTTCAATATACCAAACATGGGGTTAAATCCAAGGCCAAAAAACATCGAACCAGACGTTGAGGAAATGTTGCAAAACCTCACGCTTGGCCTTACATTTCACCCAACATTTTCTATAGTGAGTGACCCAACATTGCGCTATTTGGCCCGAAGATAATGTTGGCAGCGGTATTCCTTTAAGGTCTTTCTTCTATTTTAATTTGAACTTGACTTTACTTAGTCGAGATATTTTCCTCAAAAAGACTGTCGCTTGTGTGCTTATTCTGTACATCTTTAGTAGGGTGACCTCTGATTTGCCTTTATGTAATAGCTTGTTTACCGAACTTTGCGCCTTACCAAGGTCATGTTCAAAACGGGTACGCGGTCCTGGGGCTCTACTTTCTTGGACTCTTTGGAAGGTCACAGATTTTTCAGATTTTCAGATTTGTTGTTTGAGGAGAGGAGGCTGATAACCTGTGTTAATCCTTTCCCAGTAGATTTCCTTACTTGTCCAATTCCCTTTTGAACGAGTCAGTTGATGATGCGGATACCGCTTCCTCGGGGAGTCGGTTCTTTGCTTTTGTAATCTGCTACTATGTCTTCTGAGGTATTCCGACCTAGTGGGAAAGAAAAAAGAATAAAGATCAGTTTCGGAGTCATTTCTTAGAATCCTACATAGCGTGATTAGGTCTCCCTTCTGTCTGTGATAGAACAAAGTGAAGAAGTTCAGCTCCTTAAGTCAGGCTCCATAGGTAAGGCCAGCGATCACTGGGATCATACGAGTGGCTGCCTTCTGAACTCTTCCTAGAAGGTCTGCGTCACTTTTCAGACAAGGATTAGGCACCTGTGTACAGTTTTCTAATTTAGACGTAACTAAGGATGTGTATAAGATGGCGAAAATGTCACAACTTATCTTCGTAAACGTTCTAAGTAACGCCTGACTTCGGGTTGCTACCAATTGACAGTGAGCCATGGTTTTCAAGTCATAACTCACTGTGACTCCAGGTCATGTGGGTTAGTGCTGACGGTAGAGGAGTCCTATCAATATCGTAGGTTTCGTTGTTTGTCCTACTTCTTACTTTCTCGATTGAATGATGACAGTCTCTTCTAGAAATACAGCTAGCTTCTCAATTTGCAGCTTTCTCTCGAACAGTTGCCAGTTCTCATAGGTAGATAAGTTAAGCTAAGATCTAATTCAGTGACTTGAACACTGATAGCCTTGGAATGGAATTTCATTTCCTTTTATGCACATGTCCTCACCAGTGAGGTAGTTGGACTTGCTGGGATCCGCTGCTTATGCCTTTACTAGTTGTCGCTGATAGAGTTTTGCACACCTTTCTTCCGTCGGAAGCTGACCTGGTCTCATGAGGTTAGTCCTCGTAATAGGTCTTCTAGCATTCAGTATGCAAGAACTTGAAGATGCCTACCTCATCTTATTTTATGTGGCTTTCCGTATGTCATTGCCAACATGCCTTGTAAACAGTTTCTTCACCTGACTTCAGTCTGTCGTAGGACGTCCTTAGGGTTCTACACAGCTAACAATTTGTCAACAGATGTTTTATCCTCATAACTGTCATATTAGTTAGAATTTCTTTAGGATCCCAACTTCGTGATGGTATTCGGAACTGGCCCAATTTCTTCGATCGACCAACGAATTTTCAGGCAGCACTATGGAAAAAAGCCAGACATTTCCTGCATTGCTAAACGTTTGTAGACTGCAGGCGTTAGGCTCATATGGTTGTCGTGTTACCACCTTTTGCACTCGTTATACTGCATACCATAGGCCACTCTAGTGGTGTCACCTTGATCTAGCACAAGCATTCCTGTGACACTTTGGGTTGACGATATCGCAGATACAGTAGTCGGCAAGTAAATGAGATTACAAGTAGCCATAACTTTGGTGAGGAAAACTAGGCAAAATATCTTTCTGTCTACACTGAGCAGAGAGAAGTCCAGGTCAGTAAGTAAGTAGATATACATAAATAGTAAGAAACTCACTCAAAAAATACGCAGTACTTCAACCGAGAATGTGTCTGATTAAAGTGAGGATATACAGCTGGCCTTGATGAAAGTGCACAAAAATTCTAAGAATTTAACCGAGTGTGTGGAATTCATTCCTTTTTCAAGGCATCAACAGGTGCAAATGAATGTTAATGGTGGAAGACTGACACCTGCTCACCTTAGATCAGGAAGGTTACTTTTCATCGTCACTTTTTTATCAGTATACGGGTTTGTGGCGGTCCGAAATTATGGAAAACCAACACATTCACTTTGTTATGTTACTTGGCAACCATTTGCGGCTGCTTGCAATAAGCATTGAGGCATATCTATGGTGTAAAGGTTAATACCATTAAATCTCCACTGACAGTCGCCTCACTCTCTGGGCGGTTGGGTTTGCTTATCACGGTGGTCCAACGGTCTACCTCGATGAAATTCTTGTTTCTTCGGGTTTTACCATCCCATGGATGCCTGTTTGACAGCAGTACGACAAAAAGAATTTACCGTGGTAATGTGGCCGCCTACATCATGCTGGTGGTCTGGGAACGAATTTATACCTCTGGCTGAATAGGTTTATAACAGCTTGGAGGTGCTTCTCATGAATGACGAGCAGCACCATGATGATACTGTCTCCCTTACACTCCGCAATGTTCCACAGTATGGGTTTTCCCTGTCTGGCACCAGCAACATCAAATCTGAAGCCAACAATCTGAGAAAGATCGCATGCCAGGCCTCAGGCAAATGTCTCATGGGCATATTGGCTACGCAAAGCTAGTCTCTTCTTCCTCCCGGATGCCTGGCATAAGCAACGCCTACAGTGTACTAACCGTCCACAAACTACTAGTAGTATACTAGACTAGACTTGTCATAGTCAATCTTCCCCAACCTTCTCTCCTCGCTTGCCTTCATCGCCTGAAGCCAGGCCGTTCACAAATCCCCCTGTGATCACTGCTGATAGTCAAGGCCAGTGAGAAAAGATTTCATGTTTCCTAAAATCGCTGAGCGAATTTTGATTTGGAGCTCCTAATGTCTAAAACCCGTCAGATCAGACAACAGGCGTCGCCTGCCTAAACACCGTAGTCCCGAGACATAAGTGAATACTGCTTCTCAGATGCGTATACAGGACTAACTCGTGGCCAGCCACCTGACCTCATCTGGCCTGTGTCATAAGTCTGCGAAATTTACTTTACGAGCTCCTGGGGACTCGGTAGTTAGCCCTCATGGGCATGCATAGCATTCGTTTGTAGGCCAGAAAGTGCTTGCATCTACTAGGTGGCAGTCTACAGCCATTTTGTGATGCTTACCTAAGTGTCCAAAGACTTTACTTCGAATGATCCAAAAGGTTAATATTACGTAAGGCTGTCTATTTTGCTACAGGAAGTAAGGTGTTCGACAAAGCCACAACCGCAAGTGACTTCAGCGACCGAGTAGGAAAACTGTACCAATCGAAAAGGCGCATCAGATGCTTCAGCTGTACCCCATGCGAGCGGATCAATGACAGTGGTCGTCTCCTACAACTGTCCTGACCAACGACCAGCATATACTTCAAGCACAAGAGGAGACACTGTGTCACATGTTGCCAGCTGATATCAAATCCACGGTGGACGGTTATAGATCCTATTGCTACAAACCATTGTTGGAGAGTGTCGGTAGGGGGCCATCTCTCTATCCGGAGTGCCTGTTTGTGAAAGTTCCATCTATACGCATACACTTGTCTACTACATATCAGTGTTTTTGATCCAGCCGTTTTTTGCATAATGTTGTTAAGCGTGGTAATTTGGACCGTTACGTTTCTTCGCTGGGTTATACGCTGAGTGTACCCGCCTGCAGAGCATTTTGTACCTCACTTGCGTGTTACTGCGCTCCAACAGTCAGAATAAGCAGGCAGCAGTGAGGCCTTCGCTTGCTAACCCGGAAGGTGGGAATGTTGTGTGTATTTAGAGAGGAGATAGCAAGTCATTTTTCTTAACATGGTAGCAATCTTCATCCAGACGAAGCCTGGCGCAATATTTAGTCTTCTGTAGAAACAGCAATGAGGAAAGTCAGTAGCGTTTGTTTAAAGGTTGACAAAGCTTAGTGAATTTCTAGAACGTCATCCGAATTGGTCGTTACAAGAATATTTATCACAGCTCGCCCTTAAAATAATACGGAGTACAGTCGATGTGAACGTTAATTTACTTAGTTTTCACGATGACCAAGACCAACGGTCAACAGCGAACGCAGAAGAGCCGGGTAGGTCGTCAACATTAGGTAGTACCCGGCAGTTACTCCGGCTTATCAGAGATAGTGACAAGATCAAGCGAGTAGTTAGTATGACCTGACCGTCACCGGGGGGTGGGAATCCGATAATCTCTTGGGGCAGGTGGCTGACCGTCGGGTGGAAAATGCGAAGCCCAGTTCAACTGGCCCACAGTGACGCCCCAAACGCCAGCATCACAACTGGGTCTGAGTTAGACATGGGAGTCGATCCCCCAAATCTCCGTGAACTTCAGCACGCCATTCCAAAACTGAGAGGGGCATGCAGGTATGACCTGTTAGTTTACCATCAACGTCTTCAAGAAGCGAATTGGGAAACGGCCGCCTAAAATCCCATGGGTAATAGGTGGCATAGAGCAATCAGGAGTAAACAAGTCAAGCTGGATTGGACAGATGGTTGTTCCACCATAAAAAGACGGTGGTACACGTGCGTGGTCCACAAAACATCAGTTTGGATTCCATCGGGTATACGGAAACCAAAGTAGAACAGCTGCTCCAGAAATTCAGGTTTTAAGACACAGACAAAAGTACATCCGTCATGTCTCCAGTTTTCGACTGGACTTGGAATACAAGTATATTCGTCGGTGGCCGACACTTGCTACATCTCCTGACCTGAAGGTGATATTCGACTGTGTCTACTGGGAGGTGTTGTGGCAGCGACCGACCGCGAGGGAAGCACTGAGCAAGCATGTAACGCTTATCAGATCCGTGTAAGGCCCGATGGGGAGCTACCATCTGAAACGATGATAATAAATAGCATCCGCCGGGAATGATTGCTGCCACCGTTACCGTTTAGCTTCCTTGGCAGCAACTCTTAGTGTCTCTGAAATACATTAACTGATCTACTGAATGGCGGGCACCTGGTTAAAGTGAAATATGCGGGCATCATAGTCCTGTTAGGCGAGGACGACGAAAGATGTATGGTCTTCTGAACGCTTTGCACCTGTCAAACATACGGTGATGCTTCAGGCTCGATCTCCACCGACTGCCAGTTTAAAGATAGAAAGTAAAGTGGCTGAAAGAGTTGACCTCACTTCAGTAAGTGCACCAGCTCAGATGAGTTGGCCACCGAAGAAATCTCAGGTCCGACATAAAAA